ACCAATAAATATAAAAAGAAGTTTTGAATAGTAAAGATTGATAGTAACAAATATTATTTTGTAATAAATAATTATATGAGAAAATTATTGAAAGACTATCAGTATTAATTTTAACAGAAGAACTGAAAGGACAGACAAAAAGAATCATTAGAAGAGTGAAAATTTTAATGATAGTGAAGATGACTCAAAGAGAAGGCAAAGCAGTAGCAAAACTAAATATCTAAAGTATCGTGATCTAGAACAAAAGCAAAACTGATAAAAGTTTGTAAAGAAGATGATAAAAAAAGATGAAATCTATCTATATAAAATTCTAATTCTTTTTCATTAAATAAATTAATTCTAAAATTATTAAGAATAGTTATGCAATCAGATGAAATAAATAAACTTTTTATAGTTAAAATATTAGAATCCAAACTAAGGTTGTCAAATAAAATATTAGGAACAGAAGTAGTATGTATAGAATGGAATTTAACAACGGCTTGATCTATTATTGACCATAGTTATACATGAAGTCAAAATGAAAATCCAAAAAGTCAAAATGTTTTGACTTTGGAGGTCAAAGTCAAAATGAAAAGTTGAAATGATCGAAATTACGTCATATCATATGATTTTTTATATATAGAAAAAATAAAAAAAACAAAAGATATACGATCACGGTCAATATTGCTCCGATTCATATGAAACAACTACCATTCGATTTCTCATTGATTTTGGATTGTCTCATCTCGAGATATTTGCGATTGTATTTCAAAATCCAGACTCCTTTATTTAAAGTAGAATTTATTGATTTATAATTTCAGCCAATAATACAAATGCGAGTATCTTGTGATTGGATGATCCAAAATCAATGAATATTAGCTTATTGGATTCGTCTAGTCGTGAGGAATCGAATGGTAGTTGTATTATACGAATCAGAGTGATATTGACCGAGATCGTACATCTTTGTTTTTTGTTTTTTCTAAATATAAAAAATCATATGATATAATGTCATTTTGACTATTTTGCGACTTTAGCCTTCAATGGTCAAAATAATTTTGACTATTTTGACTATTTCGGATATCCAAAATGATCCATTTTGACTTCATGTATAGTTCGAACTCTCAAACTTTTGTTAAAAATCAAGATCAAAAAGACATCAATAATTTTGCTGCTATTATGAAACCTAAGCCTCTCACAGATAAACAAATTGCATACATTGTTAATGCAATCCTTTGCCCACTCCTAGAATACAGATTGCAATATACACCTCTTTCTGAACGTTGTTAGCTTAAACGGTTCATCGTAAAGTTAACTAAGATTATTTGCTAATAGGGAGTTTAAGTGCATTTAAACTATGGAAGAAATAAACAAAATAAACACGGATTAATTATGTTGAAGGGTCAGGTTGTCTTTATCAATATAGATTTAAAGAAGTATGAAATTGTATATTGAGCAAAGATATAATTGTTAAGAGATAAATGTTATTGATTTATTAGAGAATTATAGCGATTCTGCCATTTATTGAGGCAGAAATACAAGATATTTATATAAAATACATCAATATGAAATAGATATTTAATATAGTAAAGAAAATAAGAAATATAATATAAATAAGAAATTAAAGATATATAAGAAATTATAGATCGCTAAGATCGCTAAGAAATTAGAGAAATGATAGAAATCATAGAAATTAGAGAAATTGAGATTCATGATCTATGAGATCATTATTTGCTAATTGTAATTGTCGCAGTACTAATGCGTCATAACTAGACTATCACTAACAACGTGAATTAATGTTTACTTCAGCCCTATTAGAACTCTCTTTAAAAGAAAGTCTGATTTTGCTATTACAATTCCAACTGCTATTTTAAATAGCAACAAATATTACAACCTTCACGATCTTTAGTCTTTTCAAATCAAATCCTTTACAACTGCTCTTCTTAATCAATTCAATTTGACAAATCTTTATTAAATGTATCTACAATTCGCCTCTTCTAACTACAATCACTTAACCTTCTTCCTTCATCTCCGCTTCATTTATGGAAACATCCTTATAACCATTCTTCTCACAAAAATCTAATTGGCACTCAACTTAGCATCATTAATACAGTTACCTCTGGTTTCAAACCTAGGGTCAAAGATTTTTTGAATAATCATATAATAGGAGGCTCACATTCATTCTACCAATTATTTTCTTACGCTATTTTCAAACAAAATTTTAATGGTATTAAAAAATTACAACTGTATTATTTGGATCTATTTATCTCACTAGATAGTTGCCATCTTCTCAACTGAAAGATATTAAATTTCGCCTTCCTGTTTCATTATCAAAATCTGCTAGAATAGATTCTTCTTTTTTGATAGACTTATTTCTTATCTAATCATTCTTAATTCTTTAGAAAGATCTCTTAAATTAGAATATAGATTAAATGATAACTCTTCCTTTATATCACTTTATAATTTAGATATCAACCCTTCTGACACAAAAAGAGAATATGTCAACTTTTGGAATCCGCTCACCAATACCAATGTTTATGGGCAAATTACTAGAAAACATCCACATATTGAGACAGCTGATATATGCCACTTCAATTTAATCACTAATGATATAGGACTAGAAAGTCTTGTTAAATGTTCTGGTTGCTCCTTAAATGGTAAAAAGAAATATGTGTCTAAAGTTCTATTTTAAAATATCATTAAAATAGATATTATAAGCAAAAAACAACATCAGAAAGTTACGTTAAAAAACTCTCCTTGTTTATCCTCATTTGAATTCACTTTCAGTGCAAAATTTAAAGCTTTCTTAATCATTCATACACTTTATCAAGATAGATTTATACCATCACTAATATCTCAACTTATCAACGAACCACAATATATTGTTCATCTTTCAGAGATAGCCCTTTCACTCTCTTCAACTCTTTCCATATCATTTTATACAGATGGTTCTTTAATACATTCTACTTCTGATAATTGTAGAATGGGAATAGGCTGGATATGTTTAAATCAACAACAATCCTTCTATATATCTGTAACCAATTGGGTTTCTTCAACTAGAGTTGAAATCTTTGCACTTCTCATTGCATTTATTGTTTCTCCAAAAAATTCCAAAGTCACTTTATTTACTGATAGTATGGCTACTATCCATAGCTTTAGCTCTTATATCTCTAATAACAATTTTTCTGTTCGAACATTTAAAAAAGTGTCTAATTACACTCTCTAGAAGACTATCAAATTTATTGTGGATCAATCAAACCTCAGTGTTACACTCATTAAAGTCAAAGGACACAGTGGTGATATTTATAATAATATTGCTGATGATCTAGCCAAATCAGGAACACAATTACCAGAAATTTCTATCAACCATCTTAAAGTCCCTTCTATCACGTGTTTATTTCAATTTAATGACATTATTATTGAATCATCTGTAAGACACTTTACAAAAAATAATTTTTTTGCCACTACTGCAGTCTCAAATATCATTAACTTACATAGAAATGATTATCTCAAATCCTTAACAAGACAGGCAAAAGTTCATTGGATAACAATATGGTCTATCTTTATGTTAGATCAGATTACATACTCAACTTCCTTTCAGCAATGAAAGCTTTGTTCCTTTATAATGAAGATATTCTTGAAAGAATTACCCACATTATCACGATTAGAAAAACTGAGACCATATGGGAGCTTTGCAATAGAAAGGGAGGAAACTCTAAAAAAATTAAAATTTTACTTTCTAAGCTAATTATGATTTTTTTTGTAAAATAAGTCCAGATTTAACATTTATTCAAAAAAAAATTTTTTTAGAGTTTCCTCCCTTTCTATTGCAAAGCTCCCATATTTATATAAAAACTAAAACTGCGTTAGATGCAACTTAACTACTGAGATAGCTGATTATTTATGGTCATGTGATGCTTATTCATCAAAAATAATATTATTATCTCTGACGTTAAGTCTTAGATCATTAATTTAACTTCAAAATGCTGTTCTTTTTCTTTCTTTACTTCAATCTCATCATCCTTAGTTCTACTCTTAAATAAAAACTTTGCTTACCAACAGATAGGATAAGCTCTTTCTTACCTATCATTCATGGAAAATTATCTTCTTCATTATTTGTTAATCTCACAAAACTAATACGATCGTCTAAAAAAACAAATAGAATTTTCACAAAAACAATCGTTGCTTTTTATGAATAACTTTTCAATGAAATTTGGTCATATCGCTGCTCTCTTATGATGCCAAAGAATTATCAAAAAATATCACTTCTGACATGAAAAACATGAAAAAGAAATGCAAAAATTTGTCTTACAATAACAATATAGCTCCAACTAACACTTGGGAACTATGGATTTAACTTGTCCTTACATATAGATATAAATGGTCAGATTTTTAAATCAGTTCTGATATGTTCTTTTTCTTTTCTTGATGATTTTAGTAGTCATTGGGCTAGTCTCTTTGGGTCTAAAGGAGGGAATTGATGATGATAGGTCGACCTAGACGGATAGGTATGTTTACATATTCTATTATCGGGAGGTAGCTAACATTTAGTCTAGATTATTAGATAGTTTTTATTTTGTTTTGTTTTTCATTACTTGTAATTTCTTTTATTTTCTTCGGAAAAATCTATAAATCTTAATAAAATAGTTGGCAGAGCCATATCAATAAAAAAAAATAATAATAATTTCGGATAACTTAATTAATTATAAGAGATATAAATTTTTTAATATATAAGTGTATAAAGTCACAATTCTCTTTGTATAACCTTTAAGCATAAAGACATATAATTTTCTTTTATGGTATTCATCATGTAATGAGTGATTAATATCAAGATGTACATTAAATTCAATTTATTTAAAAATTGGAATAAAAAAATACTCTCTCCCTTATTTTACAAAACCAAAATTTTCATACGAAAAATAAAAAATTTAAAAGTTTGTTGTTAACAAATAATTAATTAATAAACCCAGTATAAAAAAGGTTTCTTTTGTTTTACTCTACCTTCTGACTTGCATAAAAGAGTTATGATGTGTAAAAGTGTTGTGAAACAAAAAAATAATGACCTTAAGTTCATTCCATACGTTGCTCCAAAAGTCTCAAAGGAAGCTGTTAGTTCTACACCAGCTCCTTCGTCTTCTTTAACCTCAACTTCTGTTCTCACCAACCTTGGTTTAGAAATTGTTCAAGAAGCTTTTGGCTCTTTACCAGAAAAAACAATGAAGTTTGAATTCTAAAAAATTCAGAGCAAAAATTCTTTGATAAAAATCGTATCTCTAATGTAAGGTTTGACCTTTGTTAATGTGGGTCCAGTATTTGTTAAGGTTAGCATTAAAATCACCTGGGAGAATGATTTTAAAATCTGATTTCAGACCATCATTAATGTGATTAAGAATTGTTCTATGCAGTTTAAGTCATTTTTTGTTGAAGAGTTGTGATTAGTATGCAAATAAATTGAGAAGATTTTTAATTTGATGTGTCTAGTGAGAAAAGGATCTACATAAATGAAACGATCAATATTTAAAAAGGTTTTTTGAACATAATTTGACCATATGCATTTTATAAGAAGGCCGACACTAACATAGGTATTAATAGTAGAACTTCAAAGAAAGAGAAATTGTGATTGTACTTGTTTTTGTAGGTTTGGTTTGATCTGTGACAAGTTTTAGTTAGACTAACAAAATCTTTGTTGAAATCTAAAAATGTATCTTTACTTAATTCATTTTTTAGGTCACATTGTAAGAAGCGAACGTTATGGGTAGCAAAGGAGATGGTAGGTGATCTATTCATATTGTTATTGTTATAATTTTGGGTGTCTAAATTGTGTGAAAGAGTAATATTATTGTAATTATTAATCATGATAAAAGTTGGAGGAAAGCGTGTCAATTATTGGGATAATTTTTCAGAAAGAAATTGAAGTTATGCCATTATGACATTCATTTGTTCTTATTAGACCTTAATGATTGAATTTTGTTCTTCAATGGTATTTTAAAGTTTTAAGTTAATGGGACTAGAACCAGAGCGAGTATTATCGTCTGAAGAAGAGTCATTCAAACAAGAACATTTATTGTCATAGGAGGTAGAACTTGGTTTGAAAACTATTGAAGTAACAGGTGATGAGGTGATGGAAGTGATAGGTAAAGAAGAAGGTGAAGCTAACTGTGAACATTCTAATTTTGTAATTTGAATTTCAAGATCAGACATAGCTTTTTTCATGTTGAATAGCATATCAAGAATTTGATCAAGTTTTTTGTTGGTATCATTGGTATTGTTAGGATTATGAATGGAGTTATCTTTGATTCTTATTGTCATTATTATTTCTTAGAATTAAAGAACGTGAACCAGCAGGTTTGAATCTATTATAAAGTTTTTGAACGAAAGGTAGATGTGAACGTTGTTTCTTGATTTCAGTTGGTTCTTTTTCAGGGGAAGATAAAATTTGCAGGCATTTCATAACAATGTGGTCAGGTGAGCCACACTTATGACGACATTTTGATTCAGCGGAATACCATTATAAGTTATTTCCTTTAAAAGCATAATCAAATTTGATAGTATCATTAAGGGTTTTAGGTGTTTCAAAGTAGCGAATCACAAAGGGTCATGGTTTATAATTATTAGAGCATGGGATGTAACAAGCTTTTGCTTTAGTAGTGAGAATAATGTCTAGTAAATCACGTGCAGTTGTTCCAAAAGGAAAATTAGTTAATTTGATACGAATATCATTTCTTGTTTAACTTTTTCAGGAGAAAGATTTGCAGGATAAATTCTTACACAGTAATTATAAAGATAACATGACTATTAGATATAAAACAATTGGATGGCTTGTGAATCGTCATAGATAATATAAGCATGTTGCCAGAGACCACGAGTTTGTAACTTAACATTGGTTATATTTCTGTATTTAGCGAAGATTGTTGTGAGTGTGTCTTTTTTAACATTTAGGTGGATGTCGGTAACATGTAGGATACGTTGCTAGAATTGCATGTTTTTTTTGTAAGATTAATATTCAATAAACTGATCGATTCTCAAATCAGGAAATTTTATATTAAGGGCTGAAGTTAGAGTAACCTAATTATCAAAATAGATGATCAACGATCTAACAAAATTGATAGGTTGAACATTGGCCCCCTTAAACGTGTCATCTTAAGCGAAAATGCCATTGATAGTTTTAATAATAGCTGAAGTATGAAGTTCATAAGCAGATTTTTTGATAGTAGTTGCGCAGGCAAAAGGAGTTGGGCAAGAAATAACAGTAAAATTGAGATTTTCAGTGTCCATACTATCATCGTCTTCAATAGGAACATGTCTAAAACATTAGGTGGAGGTGTATCTTTCAAGGGTTGAAAAGTGTCTTTGATAATTCCTGTCAAGTAAAGAACTATTGTTAAGAACACCACCTGAGGAAGAGGCAATAGGTTTTGGTTGTTTTCTTTAGATTCATTACAGAATTTATTTTTTGAGACAGTTTGTTTTTCAGTTCGTTTGTTATCCATTTTATCAGTTTGAAAATTTATGTAAAACTCTTTTAAAAATAAAGGTGTTGTAAAAGTGAAGAATAAAACTATCTAACAGAATTATAAAATATTGAAGTAAATAAGGCAAAACAATTTTATTTTCTAAAAAATTTTATGTTTCCAAAAAATTTTGGGAGAGAGAAAGAAGAGTCTTGCTATATATAAATAATTTTTTTTTTTTTTTTTTTTTTTACGATGTGACACTGCCAATAACTTTATTAAATTTATACAAATTACAAAAAAGTAAATCTTAAAAATCTATATATAAGTATTAGCTATATATAAATAATAGTTAGACGTATTTTTATATAATATCATTGTAGAGTCAACAATTTCATTAATCAAGACGCAGCAATACAAAAGGAAATGATCAATAATATTCAGTAAAAAGTCACAAAGAAAAGTCATATGATAAAAGAGAAATGATCATTTTATTAAGAGAAAAAAAATAATACTCGGATAAATTACAGATCGAAAAGGAAGATTACACAAAACAGATAAATCACAGAAGAAAATGATTCGGATAAATTAGTTACCAAAAGAAAAAGGATAATTAATTAACCGAACGGAGGGTCAAGAAAAAGGATAATTAATCAACCGGACGGATGGTCTTATAAAAAGACTTGAAAAATATTTGAAAAATAACAATTGAAGAAGTTATACGATGATGCAAGAAGGTTATACAAAAGGTACACTCATTGGAAATGACAAACTAGACCTCATGGAAGCTTGTGTAACATAAAGGTTACACATGACATCATAAACGAAACAGAAATCAGAAGAAGAATGAAAGTTAGTAGTGATATGAAGTACGGAAGAAAGACAGAAGTCCGAAAAAGTAAGAAGGAAAAATTAATATTAAAACGTTAAATAATTATAAGGAAAACAAATGAGAATTAATATAACGGAAGTAAGAATAACATAACGAAAGTAAAAGTAATATAATGGAAGTATAAATTAATATAACGGAATGAAATTAAAAAGTAAACAGTAAACAATAAATAGTAAACAAATACAAATACGGAATTTAGTAATGAACAACGGAAAATTAGGAATAATAGTAAATATAGAAATCATATAAAGAAAATCATGTAGTAAAAATCATGTAACAAATATTACGAAGTGAATTTTATTATATAAAGGTTTAGGATTCCCTCAAGGAACCAGGTCGTTCAATTCCCCTTTCCCTAAATAAAAAAAAAATTATTATTAAATAAATAAATTTTAACACAAATAAAAATGAATACTTTTGTTTAAAATAATTAATTGTAGAATAATAAATTATGGAAAATAAATAAAGTTATCTCGCTTATATATAAACTATAATTTTATAAAAATATTAATAAAGTAATGAAGAAATAAAACTTAGTAGGAATAATAAAATATGACAGAAGTTAAAGAATATTTAAACGTAAAGAAATGAAGAAAAATAAATAAAAATATTAAA